AGTTTTAAATGTTTTATTAGTATATATTAATTATTCATTCTAGTGGATTTAATTATGGCATTTTAGTATGTATACTTGATGCATTTTACTCACTAAACCATTACCCTCTTTTATCTTCCTCCCATCCCTGATAATCTCCATCCTTTCCCCAACTAGCTCTTTTTACTTTTATACCTTTTGTGTGTGGTCAGTAAGTTCCATTAGGGTTGTTTATAGGAACATGAGCAGTGACTGCAGGAGCAGGTGTACCTTGCTAGTGCCTGTGTCTCCTTCCCACCAGATACTGGGAGTGGTTGAACCCTGTGAGCCCCCCTCCCTCTCCATGCCAGGGTGGCTATAGGTACAGAATCATTCCGGAAAGTCAGCACTCACAGTCCATAGCCATAAGAACACTGATAAGTTCTCCCCCAGAGTAGCACTTACCAGCACTCTGACAGCTAGTAGGGAGGATGCTTTTAGCCTAGTTCCAGCTTGATTTGTTATGTCCTGTGACTGTAGCATCTTCAGCAAGAGGGTCTTGTCATCAAGGAGGATGTAAATTTTTATGTGACATAGACAATCCCTAGATCTCTCATACCTGAAAGGAAGGAATTTGGATGTTGTCATTGTGTGTGTAATGTCCTTGGGGTTTCCGGTGAGCAGAAAGCTCAATATTTTGTAGAATAGTCAAATTTATAATTATGTAACCGTGATTATTATAACGTTCTTAAGTCTGCTGAGACAGTGTAGATCATTCTATAATTTTTACTGACTGGTTCTAGTTGAGTTTTCTAAATCCCTGAAAAATATGTAAATATAAAAAAAGTGCCCTAAAGTATTAAAGGATAATAGCCCCTGGCTTTCCCAGAGATGTTCCTATCCCAAGGGTGAATTCTTTTCCTGCAGCCTTTCCAGCTTGCTCTGTGTTGATCTCTACGCCATGTGGTTTTCTTCCTTCCTTCCTTCCTTCCTTCCTTCCTTCCTTCCTTCCTTCCTTCCTTCCGTCCATCCATCCGTCTTTACTTTTTTTTTTTTTTTTCTATTTTTTGAGACAGGGTCTCTATGTAGCTCTGGCTGGCCTGGAACATACTTTGTAGGCGAGGCTAGCCTTGAACTCATAGAGATCTACCTGCCTCTGCTTCCTGAGTGCTGGGACTAAAGTCATCGTACCCCACTGCCTGGCTCTGTGATTTTCTCAAGTGCTCGGGTTTTTCAGTGCTGCCAGAGCGGTTTTTCCAGGGTAGAAGTCACCTTACACTAGTGCACACGCTTGTTCTAGAGTGTGCACTTTTCCAGACAGGCCGGTTAGTGCTTCTTTATATCTAGAATGTGTGGAATGCTGTTAACACTTTGTCTTGGCTCAGGTGCAGTTCTTTTTCTCATGGTTGGTGCCCCTGAAGCAAAGGTTAACAAGAGCGAATCATAGCTAACATATTTAATCAAAGTTTGTGTCATATGAAGGTTTCAGATCTTTGTGCTCACATGTGATGCAGAATGGACAGCGGTGTGGGGGATGCTACTCAGTGGGGACCCAGCCAGGTGTTCTGGTTTTTCTTGGTCTTTCTGTGTGCTTTCTTTCTGTCTGGGCCTTTCTGGGTGTGAGGCAGGACTTTAACACCAGAAGGGAGGTGACTTTTCTAGCTTGGCTGCAGGGAGGAGCAGAGGGATGGGGAAGAACAGAGAGGCTGCACTTCTCTGCCCTGCTGATGACACTCAGTGTTCCGAGATGCAGTGCTCTTGACTTGCACCCTGCCCGTGTTTCTCAGATGCCGACCTGGCTGGCCTCACACCTCTCCATGAGCACTGAATCTCTTTGACACACTGTATCTGAGCTCCCCTGTTTGCAGCCAGGAAGTATTTCATGTTCTCACTGGCATGCTTTTCTTTAAGAATTCCCTCCTCCACCCCTGGATGCTTTTACTACTCCTAATTTTAGGTTTGTTCTTTTGATGTGCTGTCTCCATTAACTTTCTTAAAAACCTGGTTTGTGTTTGGGAGTCCATGTTGTTCCATCCTGCTTGGACATTGACTCTTCTTCTCTGATCTCCTCCCCTGGATCTTAGTTGTAGGTCCCTGGACCCCATCATAAAGCTCATTGATGCTCCTATATCCTGCATTTTGTTTCTCTGCACTATGTTCTGTGTCTTCTCTAGATCCATTTTGGTTTCCTTTTTATCCCTCCGTCTGTATCTTGTTTGTAGTTATCTTGTCTGTAGTCATACTTCACACTGTTCACTGAAGAAGTCTTAGAGGCTCTGCTTGTATTATTTTGCCAGGTCCAGCACAGCTCCTGGAAACCTCACTGGGACAACCAGGGGATGAAGAAAGAATAGACACTCAGACAAACGAACAGAAAAGCTGGGGTCATGTGGGCCATCCTCACATTGATGGCTGAGTGCCAGCTGTCAGCTAGTTTACTGAGTGCAGAACAGGGAGGAATCAGTCTCCATAGGAGGTGGGGGGGGGATGGAGGAGGAGTCACTGCAGTTGCTGCTACCTGTACACACTGGTCGTCTTCTGAGACACTCGACAGCAGAGGACGGCTTTCCATCCCCAGCCTCATCCAGGGAAGGCTTTGCCCATCCTGTGGACTGAGATGTTGCACCCTTGTCATCAGCACCCTGTGCACATCCACTCAAAGCATTTCCCCTTCCCAAATCATTTGAAGACCAGGTGATGAATTTTGACCATCACTATCCTAGTTAAGCTTTTACTAAACTCATACTTATAAAACATCCTTATTTTGTACTGATTTATTTCTGTGTTTCCAGGTCTTAAACAGTTGTTTTTTATCTTGGTCCTGGCTTAGGGAGGTTTGTTTCTTTATATGCTGAAATCATATACTCTTAGAACTCTGAGAATTCTAGGAAGCCTCATTTTAAGGAACTTCTTTACTTTTACTAGGGAAGCATGGGATTCCCTGGAGTGAAAATTGAATCATAGGATATTTTGTTTGTAAGAACAGTATGAATTCTGGCCACCAATCTTTGGTAGCTTTATGATCTGGGATTTTAGGGGGGTTTGCTCTTCTCCCTCCTTCTGTATTGAGGAATCAGGACAGGATGTGTAAATAGTCCAACCATTTCTGTGTAGTTTAATTCCTTTTTTTCCCCTCCCAGGCACGATTACTTACTGTCTCATTTTGCATCAGTGCCAGCCTCTGTCTTTAATCCCTTTGGGCTGGATATGACCTGTTATGAGGGTGATCTGGCAGTCTTGGTCTGGAGAGGGGCTCAGTGGTTAAGACCACCTTTTGCTCAGTCAGGAGGGACCAGAGTTTGTACCCTAGCACCTATGTGGATAGCTCCCAAGTGCCCGGAACTGCATTTTGAGAGGTCTGACACCCTCTTCCGGCCTCCATGGGCACTCACACATGTGTATATATTTACATACACACATGCAAGAATGGCTCATTGTTGACTGCTCTTATGTCGGGTAAAGACATGGGAGAATTAAGAACCGTCATTATAGTAATTAGGCAAAAGGCTTTTCTCCAGAGTTGCACTTGGCTCGAGGTGACCACGCGTCCTGTAGTTGAAGACACACTGGGTCTGAAGTTAGCTAAGATCTGCAAATGAGAAGAAGCTGTGAGTGTGACGGTGTGAGGGTGGCTTGCACATGCTAGTGTTTGTGAGAAGGGCAACTCTGACTCCATGAGTGCCTTCTTGCACTTTCCACACCTCATCCTCACACCCGACTTCTTACACTGGACTGCCTGGTATTTAAGGCAGTAGAGCGTGCTAATAAAGGTTCTCACTGGTTGAGTTGCGGGGTGATTTTGGGTTTTCCTGAAGTCTATAGTGTTCTGCCAGGCTGCTTGCTCTCAGGGCCCATTCTCTCATTTGCTTGTACGTCGTGTTATGTATTTAGCCCAGGTTAGTCTCAATCTTGTGATCTCCTGAGTGCTGGGATCCCACACTGTTCTGTTCTGTTCTCTTTTGAGAGAATGTCGCAATTTCCAGGACACTCTAGCCTGGACCTCACTCTGTAGATCAGGCCATCTTTGAATTTGCAGTAATTCTTCTGTTCCCCGAGAGCTGAGAATACAGGCATGTGCCATGACACTTGGTCCCAGATTTATTTTTAAGTTTCAAAAGTAGTACTTCAGGGTATGGTGGAGCATACCTGTATGGTGGCACATGACCTGGGAGGCAGAGGCGGGCAGGTCTCTGAGTTTAGAGCCAGTTTCAGCCTAGCTAGGGCTAAATAGGAGACCCTGCTTCAACAACAAACAAACAAACAAACAAACCAAGAATGTGCTGTCTGTTGTATCTGTTGGGGGAGACAAATGATAGAGAAATACATAAAACTCCTTTAATAGTTTGCTGTATAGATCTGTGTTCATCTTGAAAATCATTCTGCTTTCTGCCTAATTTAGCATTTTATAATTCCTTCTACAGTACTGACTCCTTCTCTTTGGAATCCACACGTGGTGTGTATGTGATACTTTACTAACATCTCATAGTGGACTCACAGTGTCTACCTCCTCTCTGGTGCTGCAATCACCTCAGCTGTGGCTGGGCTTCACTGGCCAAGTGAGCTCTCAGTGAGGTTTTGCAGCAGGTCTCTAGTCTTTGACTAGACTTTGACAGCCTTTCTTAAGTGGGAAACGTTGACTCAGCTTCCATATATCTCCCTTCCCTTCTCCCCTGCCCTTCTTTCTCTCTCTGCTTCCTTTCTTGGATCTCATGATGTGCTCATGCTCCTGAGCCTCTGGGCTCCTGTCTTAGCATCCCAAATACAAGCAGATGGCCCTGTACCTGCTTGTTGTTCTTTAGTCTGATGGTGTCTGCTTTACTGTAAAGAAACAGTTGTGCTCTGTTTCTTATGTGGTGTGCTGCTGAGCATTGTAAAACTGGTAAGTATGTTACCAAGTGGAGATTCTGAGCTTAAGCAGCATGTTACAACTCCTGTGAGAGGGCATGGAGCAGGCAGATCTTGGGATTTTGCTTTCTATGGTACTTTTGAAGGAAGTTAAGGTTGGCGTTTTGTGTTACATAATTTGTCTTCACCCTTTGTAGCCTCCACCAGGCAGTGTGAAAATGCCTAATGTACCCAACACCCAGCCAGCAATAATGAAGCCAACAGAGGAACATCCAGCTTACCCACAGATCACAAAGGTTAGTGCATGTTAACTGTGTAGATTGATACTGGAAGTTCATATATTGTTTCGGTTTATAGAGTGAATTTTATTGCCTTTGGTCTCAATGCATAATGCCACTACATTAGCAATAATAGAATAATAAATGTGACTACTCAGTGGGCACTATGAGGAAGTAGGAGGTGGCAAATGTCCAGGAAAACCAACAAATGAAATGCCTGGCAGCTCTAACACAGAGTTAGAGGGCAGAGTGTCCATCCTAAGCACATTCCTGTCCCTCAGCATCTTAGGACATTTACGATGTTTTGAACTATTCTTGTATTTCTGGAGCCTGCTGCACCATTTGACTCATTTATCCAAGCTAATTCGGTTGTCCTTTATTCTGTTCATTTTTCCTCAACCACTCCCTCATCTTAACTCTCTCTCATTTAGGCTCAGGGTTACCTAGACTTTTGCTACTGTTTGTAAAAGGTTGATTTTATTGTTTCCAATGACATGTATTGTGTGTCCGTGTGTAGATGTGTGCACTTGAGTACAAGGTCCTTTTTGAGGCTAGAGTTACAGGTGGTTATGAACCGCCTGATGTGAGTGCTGGGAACTGAACCTGGGTCCTCTGCAAGAACAGCCCACATGCTCTTAATTGCTGAGGCATATCTCTATCCCCAGTCTCTGGCTGTTCTTAACAAGAGACAAGTTTTTGTTTGTTTGTTTTCTTCTGTCCTATGGACTCAGCATTGCCTCTGAGGGCTTTCATAACTAAAACAAATGAATCAAGTATTTCTCAAAACTATAGCCTTTAATGACTTCCTATATTTTGAAAGTGCATTTAACTGAGGTTTCTCTTAGGGTAAAGATGAGAGTGGGCATGTAAATGTTAGACTGTTTTGGCTGTCTGGTAACCTGGGTGTGTGTTGGTCATTTTGTTTAGGAACATGCCTTGGCTCAAGCTGAACTTCTCAAGCGCCAGGAAGAGCTAGAGAGGAAGGCCGCAGAATTAGACCGCCGAGAACGGGAGATGCAGAGCCTGAGTCAGCATGGTAGTATCCAAAGAATTGGGATGAAAATGTCTGTCCTTGCTCTGGCCACTAGGTCTGGTGATAAACCTCTGCCCTGCCTTCTGATTCTAGCAAGGAGGTCAGACACAATAGATGGCTCACTTGATACCTGCAGCTTGGTGATCTTGGTGGATAGCGCAGTCCTTTGATAGATTAGACGAGTGTTGGCTTCCTCACAGAGAAAGTGAGACACAGATCTGATACGTCTGCTTCCTTCCAAACCAGGGGCCTTTGATTCTGCACTTGGCCCTCCAAACCTTTTCTTTTTTTTCTTTAAAAAAGAGCTGGGGCATAAAAAAGAAAGATCTCAATGTAGGCTTAAGCATGAGGGATAAGAGAAAGAGGCCCTCAGAAGAAAGGAAGGTCACCTCAGAGCATGGGTGTGGGCTTCTCAATAGTTCCATTGAGCTTTGAGTGTGCCCCACCTTGGACTCTGTCCTGTTGTGATTATTGGTTTTATTCTCATAGGTACAACATACTTGTCAAAAAATGTTAACGTATTTGTGTGATTATTTACTTGCTGTGGAATCTGTTCAAGCTCCGAGTGCTAAAGATGACTCTAAGAACCTGTGAGGGAAAGTTAGCAGCTTCATGGGGGGGGGTAGGGTAGGGAGTCAGGTGTGACATTGCTAGGTGGCTGGAATGGCAGTACACCCCCAACAATGATGGCAATGATACTGAGTATTTCCTCTTCTCTTACAGTGTTTAGGTGTTGGGCCTCTCAAGGACACATTTATCTTGGGTCATTTCCTTGCTTGTAGCATCAGAGACAGCCTTTATATAGGAGAGAGAGATCATTAACTATGGTCTTATTTTCTTAGTGCTGACTGACACTCATTACCTATGAGAGATGAAAGATGTTTTGGTAAAGATAGTAGCAAAGAGACAGACTTGAATAGTTAAATTTTGCAGTATATTAGTACATTGTAGTACTTTACCTTTTAATTTATATTAAATCTTCAGCACCATTCTTGGAAGTGTGACTCAGTTGTTACCTTTCTGAAGAAATGAAGGGTGTTTTTTTTTAGACCACACAGTCAGCGAGTGGCTTGGGTACTTCTGGTTGCAAGCCTCCATTCCTCCTCGCTCACTGTTGGCTGCTGCTTACATAGTGTGATGTATCTATCATTTCTGTCCCGAGGACCCATCTTATGTTGGGCCAGTGCTCTGCCATTGAGCTGCATCCCTAGTCAGTCCCCCCAATTTTAATACTATAATCAGTGTAACTGAGGGGACATGTTGAGGATAAACAGCAGGCCACCCTTCTTCTCTTTGTGAAAAATGTTCAGATAGCTAAAAATATGCATAATTGAATATTAAAAGTTAAATGACATTTTTAGTATTAGAAAGTGACTTTTAGTTATTTTTTATTTGTATTTTTGTCTGAATTGTGCTTTATGCTTAAGTTTTGTTCCCGCCCCCATTTCCCAGGTCTCGCTGTCAGTCCTTGTTTATGCGGACCCATTCCCTCCTCACACCTCACGGTTTTCTCTGGTTTCCAGGATGCTGGAGTCCCCCATTTATTCACACAGACTTGACCCTATCATTGAGAACCGAGCCTTGCCTCTGCATGTCAGTTAGGAATTTAGCAGAATTCTACTAACAGACTCATGTCACCGAGAAAACAGAAGCTTGAGAATCGGATGGCCTTCTCCCAGTAGCCAGGCCCTGGGACTTCGGAATAAATCTGTTTTAGGCAACTCTTAGGGTTTGCCACTGGGTTCTCCTGTACATAGACATGCTAAACATGCTATGATTTGACACTGGAAAATTATTTTACCATTTGTGTTTCTAAAATGTTAGTCTTCAAAAAATTGAAAATGTAAGCTTGGCTTCCAAAGTTGTGAGAGTATAGAGAGCGGAACAGTTAGTGTTAGTGTTTGTATGACATCTGCCACAACAACCAAAGTAAGACTACAATATATTTGTTGCAATAACTTTTTTTTTCAACTTACAGGGAGAAAAAATAATTGGCCACCTCTTCCTAGCAATTTTCCTGTGGGACCTTGTTTCTATCAAGACTTTTCTGTAGACATTCCTGTAGAATTCCAAAAGACAGTAAAGCTTATGTACTACTTATGGATGTGTAAGTATAGAACAAATTATATTTTATATATACATGCATTTTGAGTTCATATTTTCATTATTAATAGATACTTTTTTGAAAGTGATATATTAAATGCATACTAAATGTCTTTTCATATAGATCTTAGCTTCAGAGTTGAACATCATAATTTAGATATGAAAATTGTGTTACCGATAGCAATGTAAGTCTTTGGTTAGGGGAAGCCAGCACTGACTGCCTGAAAAGGCATCCTGTCTGTCACATGGGTAGGGTTTTGTAAAGATTCTTCCTTAGAAGAATGTTATCTAGGCATGGCTTGCTTTGGCAAAATTCTGCATACTATTTTTGTGCCAAGGAGTATCACTTAGATTCTGTTAAATGTAGCACTATGGCTGATTTTAGAAAGAGGAGATACTGCAATGTGAACTATAACTTTAAAAATCACTTCTGGCAGAGTATACTTTTCATCTCCAAGTGGCTGTGAATACTTTCTTCTTGAAATTGCTGAATATAGGACACTCTCAGCATTAGAGTGTACTTTCAGTTGGGATATACATAATGTTTTAAGTGTAATCCCAACTCTGAAATACTAAATGAATGTCAAGCTACTAAAGGTTCATTGTATATACACAGACTTGCACTCACTCTCTGACTTGCATTCCACATAGTCTTAGCCCTGTTTGACACCATTCTGTCAGGAGGGAAGGCTGGGTAGATGGGGCAGTAGGTAATTTGTGGACACATTTTACCCATGAGAGTGTGAGAGTTTCATTCTTCACATCGGCATGAGAGAAGGAGGTTTGTATGGACATTACTCTTGTCATGGTTAAAAGAGAACATTTGTTCTCAGAGTCAGAATTCTAGTGGATATTACCTAAATTCTTTTAGACAGAGTCTCTCTATGTAGCCCGGACTGTCCAGGAATTCACTATGTAGACCACACTGGCCTTATTCAGAGATCCACCTGTGTCTGCCTCCCGAGTTCGAGGATTAAGGATGTGTACCACCACACCTAGCTGGCTGTTACTTTCAGACTCTTAGTTTCTTGTTGAGATTTGGCCTTGCTGTCAGTAGTATGTATGTTTGATGCTTAAGGTATAATTCTATATATGTGCATGTTAATCAATTTCTATGTTTTAACTAATATATTTCTGTCATATATGCACTATATTTTATGAATTTTAAAAATAGACAGTATTTTAGGCATAAGTTATTTAACTTAAATCTTTTTATGGCAAGGGGGTAGAAAGAATATTCTATAACAAATTTAGTAAATGGAGATTGGATAGGAAAGATGGTTAATTTTAACTTGTTAACTACTGATGCTGATTTAGAAATTGATTTGTTTGGTTTAAAGTCTCTCAGAAGTAATGCAGTTAATTAGTTTTTCTCATTCTTGTCTAGTTTGCTTATCTGTTTAGAAAAAGGACTCAAGATTCTTGTTCTGCTTGGAAGCAGCATTGCTTGCAGTGAATTTCCAGCAGTTCGGGATTTGCCCATGCTTAGAGCAGAGACTGCGTTAGCCGGGTAATTTCCAAAGGGTGGGCCTGGTATGGATTTCAGGCCCGACTGCAGGTTTGTGCTCAGTCATAGGGGAGAGCTCCAGTTCCGTAGAGATTGACTCTGTGTCTGGCATTTGAGAGTCCCAAGCACATTCTCAAGCACATTATTTAGTCTTAGAGAAGCTAAAGCTTTGAGAATTTGGTACTTGTCCAACATTATACAGCAAGTCACTATGTGGCAAGCTATTCTGGTAACTTGGCTCTCAATCCCAGGGTTAGATTCCATGGTATGCCATCTACAGAATACCAAGATGAAAAAGTTCTTAACATTTTAATGAATATGATGAAGATGTGTATTCAAAGGTCCCTAAGTGGAAGCAGATAGTGTAACTTGCAAATAAACCAAAGCAATTAGAATTGTCACTATGAAGTGAACCTGGACCTTTTCTTTCTTTCTTTTTTTCTTGTTTTGGTTTTTCAAGACAGAGTTCCTCTGTGTAGCCCTGGCTGTCCTTGAGCTCTCTTTGTAGACCAGGCTGGCCCTCAACTCAGAGGAGATCTGTCTGTCTCTGCCTCCCAAGTGCTGGTATTAAAGGTGTGTGCACTACTGCACCCATCAAACCTTGACCCTTTTGAATGTGCTTTTGAATTAAAACGGGGGTGGGGGGCATGGACACCAAGTAGCAGAGGTGACGTGTGCACCTGTAGCCATCTCTTTGGGGAATCACATGGCACTGGCAGCTGCAAATTCAGGTCAACTGATCCCAGATTTGAGTACCTGCCCTTGCCTGCATTCTGACCCCTGCACAGGTGGACAGCTTCATCGCCAGGTGCCCTAGACAGGCTGCTTTTTATTGTGTGAGACGATGACTCCCTGATCGGGCTTACTCTAAAAACATCCAGGGGAAAAAAAATCTAACACATTACACAAAGATTGATACTAACTAACTATACTCTGAAGAATTTGTATGGATTTTAAAACATTTATAACCATGTATAAATGTTCCTCATTTTTGTAAGTGAAATAAAAAAATCTTTAAAAAATTCTTGTGAAGATTGAAATTTAAGTTAGAATGTGATGATATTAAAACATACACACAGACACCCCCCCCCCAAATTTAAGACATCCACAAGTTCTAAAGGAACAAAATTTCCTGTTTCACAGGAGTTTTTGTTCTGTTTTTAAGTCCTTAGACCTCTTTATTGTGAGGGAAAGGATTTTGAGTCATTTAATTATTGGGCCAGCTTTCCTGAGGATTAATCCCCAGTAGTAATTGAGTAATCAGTACAGTTTCCCTTCTGTGATAGAAAGAATGGGATTTTAAAATAAAAGCCCTTCAAGGCCACTACAGATTTATTTTCAGGCTCTGGAGCTGTTTCTCCATAGTTGATTGATTTAATGTTTAGATGTGAACACATCAGGCCACCCAGAAAGAGTACTTTTATCCTGCTCCATAAAATTTTTATTTTGATTTGTAAAGAGATTTTAAAATTAGTTTTTAATGTATATTGAGTTTATAGTAGCTTTAATAATCTTTTAATTAATTTTTAAAATCTAAGTCATAGTTGGTTGACATTTTTTATTGATAATATACATTTTATAGTATTTAATTTTATGGTAGTTTATTTCCTATAATTTAATTCCACCCATGAATAAATTTTTACAGAGTCACTTTAAAAAGTTGTAATTGTAGGGGTCTGGAGATGTGGTTCAGGGTTTAGGAGCCTTGCTGCTCTTCCAGAGGACCCGGGACTGGTTCTCAGCACCCGCGTGGTGGCTCATAACACCGCCATCCCCAGTTCCATGCCCCTGTGGTCTCCACGGCCCCCCGCACACATGCTGCATAGACATGCATGCAGGCAGACATCCATACACATAAAATAAAAAATGTAAACAAAAGTTATAACTGCTAAGCATGGTTCTTTCTGATCATAGCATTGTTACTGAAATCCCAGATTTTTGATTTCCCAGCAGCATAGGGAAGTCTTGTGTCTGACATGAGGGAGGTCATCTTGTTGTCTGGGAGAGGGGAGAGGGAGGGAACAACCAGACTGTCGAAGTGTTACCCCCCATTAAAAAGTGGCTCAGTCTTGAGGATGAAGTCATCCTTACAGACCCTCCCCCCCAGTCACAAGAATTGCTACTGTATTTTAAAGTACTGTGGTTGTAGTAAGCGCCTCTGCTTTTCTTGTGCCCTGGCTCAAGAATTCACCGCCTATTTTCTTCTCAGGGAAGCAACCCTAAGAGTTGGGCTTAGCTGTGTAGCTGCCTAGGAGGATTTTCGCCCAAAAATGCTCTATTGTGTGTGCTCTGCTTTCAAATCCTGTGTAAGAAGTAGCAGTGTTTGAAGAACATGCCATGGAAAACAGGACAAGAATTCATGCTCTCAGGAAGTGTTTTTCCCTTGTAACCTGAGTTGGCTGGTGACTTGAAGTAAACAGCCAGTTTTGTCTTCTGATCCCACAGTTCACGCTGTAACTCTGTTTCTGAACATCTTTGGATGCCTGGCGTGGTTCTGTGTCGATGCTTCACGAGCAGTGGACTTTGGATTGAGTATCCTGTGGTTCTTGCTTTTTACCCCCTGCTCATTTGTCTGTTGGTACAGACCGCTGTACGGAGCTTTCAGGTAAAGTGTGTGTATTTAATATATACGCTTTAAAACCTGTGAAAGGTGTGGGTGGTGGCTCCCTCCTGGAATCTCAGCACCCAGGAGGCCGAAGTAGAAGGATTGCTATAGGCCAGCCTGGGCAACATAGTTGGCATCCGGCTGAGGCTACAGAGTTAGACCCTACCACAAACAAATGCCCAATGAAAGGAATCTATATTATACCCCAAAGGGAAAGTTGGTATATTTTCATTAATAAAAAAAAATAAATAAAGGCCAGTGAGATGGCTCAATGAATAAAGGTGCTTGTTGCCAAATATTGTGACCTGAGTTTGATCCTCAGGTCCTGTATGGCAGAAGGAGGGGGTCTGACTCCTGCAGATTGCCCTCTGACTTCCACATGGACACCATGGCAAGCACACCTTTCCCAAGTGAAATAAATATAAGCATAATATAAAAGTAAAATTTTTATTATACATACCTTCTGAAAAGTCACTTACATTAAATCAAAATTCATAAGCATTATTTCACTTAAAAAATCAAAGGAAAATTAACATTCTTAGATTTGTAACATTTAACACTTTATGCCATATATCATACCCAACTTCCTGACTTTAGGATAACCTGTTTACTCCTTTCTCCCTCACATGTCTAAATTCAGAATTATAACGTATTTACAGCATCCAGGTAAGATGAACACACATGAAACACTTTAACTCAGCAACTTGATACTTTGTGTATATCTATCGTTAGTTTCTCCAGACAGTGACATTTAAAAACCTACTTAGGCTATAAAATAAAGAATACTATTTTATATAGAGTTAACCACTATTTAAATATACTGGGTAATGCATTTTCTAAATGAGTGTTCAGTGGGATGTTAATTGGTTCATTAGCTTAGTTAGTTTTAGAATAGCTAGTTAATAAAGTTAGGCAAACGCCTTCATTTTCTAATCTCTTAGACTCTAAGTGCCTTGTGATGTGACCATGAGACCATTCTTTGCTGTGGATCACCTTGTGAGCATGGCTTTAAGAAGAGAATGCTGGACTAGGTCGGATGATACATACCTTCGGAGTAGGCAACAGCATCCTCTGAGCCCCGAGTTCTGATTATCCTGTGCAGCATGGTTTCTCTCATTTCCTCCAAATGGGTTATCCTTAACCAAATGCCTTGCTTTGGTTCTTCCTGTGGACAGCCGTGGTAACTGCCTGCAGTTTCTGGAGAGTGGAGGTGGGGGAGGGTGGCCATGTCTAGTTTCAGGTGTTAGAGGAAGGAGTCAGCATCATCTGTGATATAAGCTGCAGGCTTCTTTTGTAGACAGCCTTTGTTGGCTTGAGGACTCTCTCCTTTATTTTTAGCTTATGGGTATTTTTTTTTTTTTTTTAAATCCTGAATGGTACTGGAGCTTCCTGGGTGCTTTTCTGTGCCTGTTGATATGATCATGTGATTGTTCCCCTTTATTTTAAACTGATGAGTCATAACTGCCTTTCGAATGGGAAACCAGCTTTCCAGTCCCCCTTTATCCCTTTGGCCATGCTAGCTAGTCTCTTTAGGAGTTGTAGCCAGCAGCTCATCTTCCTGATGTGTTCTACTTGAAATGCCCTGCCCAGGTGTAGCCTTGGGTCCTTGGGTTCTGAGAAAGGTAATTGTAGCAATCTTTGGTGGTTTCTTTCTGCTTTGTTTCTAACCTTTTTAATGAAACTCTTGCTAATATAATAAGAGAAAAATCCATTTTTCCTCTGTTTTTCTATCCCTTTGCTTTCTATATCTGATCAAGGTAGAGCTGGCGATATGTCTGCCTATACACGGCTATGCTCCCCACCATGACAATAATAGACCTAACCTCTGAAACTATAAGAGAGCCAACCCAATTAAATGTCTTCCTTAAAATAGTTGCCATGTCATGGTGTCTCTTCATAGCAATAGAAACCATAAGACAGCTGGTTAGGTTTTAAGAGACACTGTTCTTTGGAGATAAAATAGGCAGAATTAGTTTGAATAGGTTAAAAAGGATTTTAAACATATTAAGAGGATTAGTGGCCAAGTACTGGTAGGTATGTGTAAAACCATCCACAAAAGATGATTTCTAACTCCAGAAAAACAGAAATGTAATCTAGGAATCTTGTTAACAGCACTGTGCCTCAGCTGTGAATAGTAGGTCATATTCGAGAGCCTCACAGGCCTAATAAGTGAGCAGTACTATTGAGAACCCCACGGTTATGTGGATTAGACTGCTGGGAAGATTTGGAAGGAAAGCCGGGTCTCCATTTACTGGAATGGTAGCCCTCTTCACAGTTTGGTAATGTTAGGAAGCAGCGGGGTAAGCTAAGCAGGGTGTGGCCACCAAAGTGACCCAAGCAAAGCCTGGTGGTGCCTGGGACTGCAGCTGTGGCGGGGCTGTGATGCACCTGGGGACTGTTTTTACAGAATTCCTATGCACTATTATCTGACCTGCAACTAGTGGATATACCTCACAGAGAACCAAGCTAGTGTTAAAGTGCAGCCTGAAAGGCACACTCATGGGTAGAGCAGGGCCTGCAATACGAAAGTGATGTAGCAGGACCCTATCTCATTGCTGCCTTTCCGGGCAGTACCAGCACCGTCAGAGAACCATTCCTCACTCGGTTCCTCCGCCTCCCACTTCTCACTGGCTTCTCTACACACACCTCACCCTTCTCTACACAACTCCTAAATCCTAAGAAATCTTTGAATTTCTGCCTTCATTGCCCCCCTTGCTTCTGACTTTGAAGATCCTTTTTTTTGGGGGGGAGGGGTAGGGTTGTAACAGGGTTTCCTGTGTAGCCTTGACTGTCCTGGAAGCTTTGTAGCCCAGGCTGGCCTTGAACTCACAGAGGTCTGCCTGCCTCTGCCTCTTTGAAGGTCCCTTTTTAAACATGCCTTGCTCCTAGTTGCTACAGTGGCAGTCACTTCTGTCATTTCTCTGGCTTAGACTGCTTCTCAGTTTCCTACATTCCGTCTCCTGTTATTTTAAAAGCTTCTTCGAACAGGACCCGATGTGATTGTCTAAGGTCTGAGAGTTAACCCACCTCAGGAGAAGTCCCAATGATGTATAACTATAAGCTGTCTTGTTACTGTCATGCCCTAATAGATACTCTTACAAGAAGCCCTATCCCAGTCCTCTTTGTACCCGGCCATGTGTTGCCTTTTCAAAAGAGTCACCAAGCTCACTGGAGCATTTTTCCCACCCTTAGCTGGCACAGAACTTTGTAATAACACCAAATGCATTACTATTCAAGAGATAAACAACACTAGTAAATATTTCAATGTATGCTAACACTGTGGAGTTGTCTGAACTACCTGAATCTGTTGCAAAATAGCAACATTGTAGTAAGATAGGAACCTTCAGAAGCTTGGAGCTTCTAATCTGAAACTCGGAGCTTCTAATCTGTAGGAATGTGTTGACACTCTGGTCCAAATGATCTTTACAAAGATTGCTGAGCCTTACAGATATCAAGAACTAATGACTTGTACTGCATTGCATACTACATATGCATGTGGAAGAGGATATATTTATTCCTTTTGGGAGGTCATAGGATCAGCCTGCCATGTCCTAGGCCCTTGTTCCATCTATAGAGCAACAAATAACGAACGAAACCAGCCACGGACAGGGAGCAGTAACTGATCTAATGGAAACTGAAACTCAAGTTAGCAATGGAAAAAGTAAAGGCCAAGCTGTGTGGCTCCTCAGGGAGTATCCTTGGAGGCTCCCCAGACTGAACCTAAGTGTGAGATGTAGCCATGAGGCAATGCAGGCAGAGCTGAGGATCGGAAATGTCAGTCTTCCTGAAGTTGGTGGAGCACCCACATCCTCCTAGCTTTCTGAACCAGCTGCGAGTCTGAAGCCAGGGCACTCTGTGGAAAATGGGATATCTTATACTTTGGTAAGGTCTTGGTCAGTCTCTTGTCTTGACACTGGTTGGTGAGAACACCAGCAGCCATTAAATCCGTCCATAGTGCAGGAGAGAAAACTCCAACCTGGAGTACCCTTTCTGAGGAATGTAAGAGAAGGAGAATGTGTGATCCACGTATACACACAATGAAGAGCCAGGTGCAGGAGTGAAGACTCAGGGCAGACGGAAAGGAAGCTCTGAAGTGGGCAGGCCAGAGGACAGATGCTGCCCCTTCTCAGAGAGGTGGTGGCAAGGCTGACGGACCCTGCGAAGAAGGAAAAGTGCTACAGAAGTTGAAGGAATTTAGCCATCTCTTGTTTCCTTTTCTGTTGAACAGTGTGGGATTAAGTTTTAGCAAATAGAACGATACAGTCCATGGAAAATGACTGTGCTGAACAGAACTGAGATAAATTTAGGCTAATTAAAAATGGTGCCAAGTGGATGGAGCTTCTTCCAAAAACATCTTCCAACAGTTTGACTTTTTCAAGAGAGTCACTGTGTGGTTCCAGGCTGGCCTTGAATTTGGCATCCTCCTGCTTCAGCTCCCTGAGTACTGGTTTACAGACATGTGCCTCCACACCAGACTTACAAAGTTGGTTTTATATGAGAAAGGTAGGGATAGTTCACCACATTATAATCTAAAATTTATTAATAGCATGACTGTCTTAACTCATACAGTTAAAAACATTTGACAAAATTCAATGTCTTTTCATGTTAGAAACAGGGAATTAACTTGGAGTGGGAGAGGCTTCTTCAGGCAGAAAAGGAACAATAAAGGCTGAGACCTGTGGTTCACAGCTGACTCATACATGTTCTGTGCTGTGGGGCTGAGAGCTTGCTTTCTCTGGGGTCAGGAGTGTACAAAGACATTCATTCTCAAAATTCCTGTTCAGAGTTGTATAGATTTCTGACCAGTAGAACTAGGTAAGGAAAAGAAACAAAGGGTGTCTAAGTCTGAAAAGAAGCAGAACTATACTTATAGATCCGCAGTTATCTCTGTAGAAAATATAAATGGAGTTACATATCTTTTTAATGGATTAGAAGACTCAGTAGTATGAAGGTGTGAACTTTCTCAGTGATTCTGCAGGTCTACAACAAAACCCAATCAAACTGACACCCCATTGGAAGACTTACAAGAAAGCTCTGTAATCATAGCATGATGTCTTTGTGTCATCAATGCTCCTTTATTATAAACAAATAAACAATCGACAAACTAAAATGAATCCTCCCATGTGTAAAAAACAATCTTTAAAATAGTTTTTTTCTTTTACCATTTATCCATTTTAAGTGGTATATGGTGCTGTGTCTGCATGTGTGCATTCACACCAGAAGAGGGCATCAGATCCCACTATAGATGGTTGTGAGCACCATGTGTTTGCTGGGTATTGAACTCAGGACCTCTGAAAAAACAGCCAGTGCTCTTAACTTCTGAGCCATCTCTCCAGTTCTGTAAAGGTGAATTTTTAAAAATCAAGTTACTTTTATTTATGAGTGTGTGTGTGTGTGTGTGTGTGTGTGTGCGTGCGTGCGCGCGCATGTGTGCACATGTATGTGTACCATGTGCCTGCAGTGCTAGAAAAGGCCAGAAGAGGCATTTGGCCTTGGAACTGGAATTATAAAGGTTGTGAGCTGTCATGGGAGTCCTGGGAACTGAGTCTCTGCAAGGGCAATGCCTAGGCTGTGCAGCCCAGACAAGGCTGTTTAAGAGCCCTTGCTTGGATGCTTGGCTATCACATGCCTTCCGCTGTGCTTTTAGAAAGTCAGTTCAGAGAGCATGTGCACAGGAGCAGAGCTGCAGGCCAAGGCCCTCATGAGGGTCAGGGAAAGTGGTTTGTTTGTTTTGATTCAATACTAAAATTAAAAAATGAATATATAAACTGGAATTCATAAAAAAGCCAGACTTTTCCTCAGAAGACACTTAAGATGCCTAAACACACACATGGTTCCATATACAGATGTGCACAGGTTGTAGCCACTCTTAGGATACCTGGACACATGTGTATTTCCATATACATATATGCGCAGATTGAGAAGACACTTACGATGCTCTGAGCACACATGTACTTTTATACATAAATAGCACAGATTGGAAAGACAAGCCCCAGACTGCAAGTTCTTTGCCAAGCATGCATCTAAATAAGGACTTGTCTCTCCTGAATATATATTTTTTAAACTCTCAAAACTCAAGAATAAGAAGGGAAATCTAGCCTAACGCACAAGAACAAGATTTTCACTGTCAAAAGTCTATGGATAAAATAACAAGTCTCTGAACAGACATTATTTACTATGAATGTGTAAAGTAAGACACTAGTGTTGTTAGCTTTCTTGTTGCTATAGCAAAATGCCAGACAGCAGCTGAAGAGAAAGGTTTTACTTGTGGTTTCAGCAGTTTGGGTTCATGACGGTGGGCATATGAGGGAGCAGTCCCCACCATGGCAGCCAGGAAGCAGGGTGGAGCCCAAACAGGACAGACCATGGGTAGAGCCATGCCCCAGTGACCTCCTTCCTCCAACCAAGCCTCACCTTCACAGCTCTGCCAACCCCCCAACAGTCCACTCGGATTTTGCATCCAGCCCCAGCTTAAACTATTCACTAGGTCAGAGCCCTCATGATTAATTTCTCTAGAAATGCCTCAGAGGTCTGCTTTACTAATATCTCCTGGATTCCATGAGCCCAGCCCCGTTAGCGATCAAGAAAACTGTCACAACCACAACTGTACATGTTAATTAACTGGCTAGGGCTGTAAACATGACTACAGCAAGTGTTATGAGATGCAGAGGACCCAAAAGACCCACTTGCTGCCAGTAGGAGTGTGAAAAGAGCAACCTCATAAAACAGTTCAGCAGTTTCTGCAATGCTTTAAATGCGTATTTACCACGCGCACTAGCTATTCCACCGATAGGTGTTTACCCATGTTAAAAGGAAGTCTCTGTTCTTGTGAAGACTCACAGCAGCATGATTTGTAATAGCAGAAGGCCAGGAACGCCACCCCTGCCTGCCACCGATGAGTGGCACCAACAGTGGGAGGGGCGGGAGCCCTGTCTGCGCACAGGTGACTGCAGAACTGCTGAATGAAGGGAGGGGGCAGGGAAGAGACTGTGAGCATCCCATTCATTTTCATTCTCAAAGCAGTCCTCCAGCCACGGTGGTGGGACACTGGCCTGAAGACAAGCAGGGAGGAGGGAAAAGGAAGCTTCAGTTCTCAGCCTCAAAGGGGTAAAAGTCCAAATACATGTCCGATCCTCTCCTGGCCTCCAAGGATGCTGCACACATGGTGCACAGACACACATGCAGGCAAAACAGCACACAGACACACATGCAGGCAAAACAGCCACACACGAAAACCAAGGAGAACACGGAGTTTTCTGTCATGGTGAATCCTGGTGCAGCTGGGAGTCAGCCAGGGATAGTGATGACTGCCGAGTGACACCGCAGTGGCAGTGTGGCTCTTCAGGGCTTGTCCCCTTAAGGTTTGCTGTCAGTCTGCTTGAGGAAGAAGGCGATGTGAAGAGTGACGCTCTCCCCTTTTCTTTAAAGGAGTGACAGTTCCTTCAGGTTCTTTGTATTCTTCTTCGTGTATATCTGTCAGTTTGCTGTGCACGTGCTGCAGGCTGCCGGGTTTCATAACTGGGGAAACTGGTAAGTTCTTTACTATGTTTAAGTTGTTAGTTTAATGTTTGTGTAACTAATTTGGTGTCTTAGTGAGTCAAACACAGAAAAAATCAGACTGGCAAAAGCACACACAGAAAAAAAACAAGGTTTTTTTTTTGTTGTTGTTTTGTTTTTAAAACAATTTGAAAACATTTTAAATCATAACTTTGGAAAAGCTATTCTCTTCAAAGATTATGCTCCCGTTTTTAAAAACCCAGCATATTGGGTACCTATTTTAAATAAAAGGTGCATAATGGGCAGTGGAAGGAGGTGTATAAAGGAGACCAAAGAGATCAGAGGAGGGCAGGGTCAGTGTCTGGGGAGAGCTTCAAGACGATGAACAGAGGGGTTCAAGTTCAGTGTAAAGCATTGTTTCACACACACTCTCTCTCTCTCACACACACACACACACACACGTAATTGTGTTTGGAAGTGTGTGAGTGGGTGTATGTACAGGTACACACACCTTTCAACAGTAAAATTCTCAGCATGGTGGGATGCTCACTTAGTGGAGTAGGGGACATCTGGGGTTCAGGGTAGAAGGTAATACAGACTTGTATCATTTTCTTTCTCCACAGAGGGAACATCCCCAAGTGGGATGGTGGGTGGAAGAGGTTGTGTTTTTAAAATACTCGCCTCTCCCATCTTTCCTTATAGTGAACTGCCTATCTTCTAGCTGCTGCATGCACGGCCATGCACAGCCATGCACGGCCATGCACAGCCATGCACAGCCATGCACAGCCATGCACGGTACTGCTGCTTGCCATTGTGTCCATTAACAGAAGTCCCAGCGAGCACAGAACTAGTGTGTGAGGACTTAAATTTACTGCACTGCCTCTGAATGAGGGTGACTGGCAGATACACCAGCTGAGACTAGAATTGGTTGTTTCCAGTTAGTTTTTGGGAAAGCTATTTTCATTATTTTAGATAGCGGTTAGTCTAGCATGTGCAGGAGAGAAAATGCTTTACATGTTTTAAAATGCAATGCTCTACTGGTATATGTATATATAAAACTCTTTAGAAGTTGAAATAATTTCATTATCTCCGTAATATAAACGTTCATTATGCAGCTGAATGTAGCAGTCTGTGCCTATGTACCAGAGTCTGCTAATGGGGACAAGTACTCTTTTCAGCTGAACCTTGTATAATTTGGGTGTCTTTAATAATTAAAATGAAGGCATTTGTTGATTGACCTGTTGAGGTAAGACCGTAGAGTTCCTGGGCATCCTTTACCCAGTGTCCCCAGTAGTGTAAAATACAGTAAAATTAAAAAACAAGGACCTTGACATTGGCAGAACATTTCCATCACTGAAACACTCATGCTGCTTTTTGCATGGCTACACTTCCTGCTCTCCTGTCCCTACTCCTCCTCAGCATCCACTAAGCTATTTGTCACTTCTATTACTCTGTCATTGTAAGATGGTTATATAAATAGAATCCTGTAGTCTACAAATACTGGCTTTTCCCTCTCAGCCAAATGTAGCTCTGATTTCTCTTTATTATTTAATTTTTTAAATTTTATATTTTATGTGTATAAATGTTTGCTTGAGTCTGTGTCTGTGCATCAGGTGCATGCAGTGCCAATGGTGGCCAGAAGAGGGCATCAGACCCCGAGGATGGAGTTAAAAGAGGTTGTGAGCATCTATGTAGGTGCTGGGAATTGAACCCAGGTCCTCTGGAAGAAAACCAATGCTCTTGATCACTGCACTGTCTGTCCATCCCCATCTTTTCATTCTCGAATAGTGTTCTGTGGTATGGATATACCATGGGTTTGTTTAACCATGGATCAATTGAAGGATACCTTAATTGTTTCTGGTTGGGAGCTATTAGAAACAGAACCATCACGAGCATTTGGGGCCAAGTTTTCATGGGTGCATAGTTTTCATTTCTATTATCAGCAGTACATTTATAATGTATTAATTCATTTAGAAATCATGTATTAAGCTTTTTAAAGAAATTGACAAATTTTCTAGGCTGAACTATTTTATATTCCCTCTGGTAGTTGTGAGAGATTTAATCTCCACATCTTTATGAGCAGTGGGCATTGTCACTGTCATTTATCTTGGCCATTTTGATAGGGATGTGCGCGTGCGTGCGTGTGCGTGCGTGTGTGTGTGCGTGCGTGCACTTGTGCGCTCACACACACGTATGTCCTAATTTTTCCTATGGTTTGAATTTACACTTACCTAATGACTGATATGTTGATGTCTTTATTGCTTATTTGCCCAGTTTTTATGTCCTCTTGTTGAAATGTCTCACATGGTTGCTAAATGAGTTGTTGGGTTGTAGTTTTTGTTGTTTTATTTTTTGATGTGACTGTATTAATTTTCTCAATGTGAGAAAATGTTCAAAAGTGTGTTTAAGGAGGGAGGACTTCTTTGGGGTCATAGGTCATGGCTTCAGGGAATTTCAGTCCATCTGTCAGGGACGGTGGAGCACGGAGCCCCTTGGTCTGTCAGCATAAAGCACGGCTCCCATGGGTGGCCGAGAGGAGGTAGAGCTAATGAGCCTTCAGCACCCGGGACCTGGAACCTACTTCCCCCTACTAGGTCCCTCCTCCTAAAATGTCTGCAACCTTCCAAAATAGTGTCACCTGCTGGGCCTCAGTGCTCAAACAAGTGACACTTGTTGGGGACATTTCACATTTGAGCCTTAAAACTCCACTCTAAAGTCTCCACTCTAAAAGGGAATCATTTGTTGGATATGTGGTTTGCATATATTTTCTTCCCTAATTGAAAATGAACATTTAAAATGTAATAAAGAACCCACTCATTTAATATGCTTTGAATTAAAATCTACAGTAATCTGGTGAACTCTTGGGGCTCAGGAGTGTGGTTTGCTGTCGGATTCAGACTGATGCCTCTCAGCTGTGTGGCCTGGACACTGAAGGTCTGAGTTAGTCCCTTACCTGTAGAATAAGCATCATCCTACGGGAGCCTGAGAGAATGGTCCAGGTGCTGAGGTGCATTGACTTACCTGCCTAATTGCGCTTTTCCTATTGTGCAGTGGTTGGATTTCGTCCCTTACTGGTCTCAATAAGAGCATCCCGGTTGGAATCATGATGATAATGATCGCAGCACTTTTCACAGCATCGGCAGTTATCTCACTCGTCATGTTTAAAAAAGTAAGTGGGCACTTGTCCCTGGACTCGTTACCATGACCCTGATGTCAGGTCCCATCAGCCCGCACTACTGGTAGACCAGTGGCACCAGAGCTCATTTTTGGGGTTCTGCGTGCTTGCTCTCCGAGGATTAGGATTTATGGTTATATCTAGATACATGTAAAAATTATATTTTAGGATTGACATAAAAAGTGAAAACATCCCTGATCTGAATATCCAAAATGTTCAACAATAAGAAACTTTTTAGCATGGTCTTGGTACCCTAAGAGGAAAATTGCTCTCTTGATCTCACAGGAGAGATTATAGATGATAGTTATGGAAAACAAACATGTTAAAATGTTGTGTAAACTCCACAGGGGTATATGTATAAAATGGGACTTCATGTTTAGACTTGAGTCCCATCCAAGGGCATCTGTTATGCGTGCAGTGTTCAGAAATCAGAAACCTCATTGAATTCTTCATTGTGAATTAGAGCCTCAAATTCAGTTTGGAAATTGGACCTTTATGTGTTTTTTTTTCCAATATGAAGCTTATTAGCTTGAATAAATACAAGTAGAATTATTGCGCCAGGTAGATATTTTTGTCCATATTAAAATTTAAAAACACTGAATTATTTAAGCATTAAATTTCTTTCACCATCAACATTATGCTGTCTGGTAGTTTCAAAACATGTATGTACAAGTAACACATATAGAAATATGCCAGTTGGTGGTGGCGCACGTCTTTAATCCCAGCACTCAGGAGGCAGAGGCAGGAGGATCTCTGAGTTTGAGGTCAGCCTGGTTTATAGAGCTAGTTACAGGACAGCCAGGACTGTTAAACAGAGAAACCTTGTCTTGAAAAACAGCAACAAGGAGAACTACTTTGGTTATTCTATTGAAGAGTGCTTTGCACTTGAACCCACATCTTGCCCACCTTGGTCCCACTGTCCTGGGAGCCTGTGTGGCTTGGCTACACTCCTGCCTGAGTTCCTGGTTTTGCCGACACTCTCTTAGAAGCTTTGAACTTCCTGCATAGGGGCCACTGAAACTGGGCTCTGTGAAGTCCTCACTCACAGAAGTCCCTGGGGACTTTTTCATTTCCATCCTGTACCACTGTGGTCTCCATCACTGGAGAGCCTCTGCTTCTGACATCATGTTCTGCCTAGGCTAGCCCTCCCTGTTTGTCTGTCTGACCAGCCAGTGAATGGTAAATGCAGTCAGCTCCCTGTCCTTAGCTGTGTGTGGCTTTCTTAGACATTCCATCTTCTGTCATCATTTCCATTTTCAACACCTGAACAGCTGAGAGACTTGGACCTAAGGGAGAATGTTTTCTACAAGTTCATATATATTCAGCCATTGAATTTCAGTTTACAGGGGTACATTTTATATCAGTGAAATTGTTTGTAAAGAAACTCTTAGAGCATACATGTGAGCCTGAGATGGAGAAAGAGCTTTTTGCGGTTCCCATTTACACATGTCAGTACTATAACTGCTGTTTCCATGACTTCTGAAGGGGTCTTGTCTTCTGTTGCTCTTTCTGTTGCCTTTTTAGAATATTGATGTAAGGTCTTCTGGTTTTTTGTTGTTTTGTTTTTGCTGTTGTTGTTGTGTTTGCTTTTTCAACCCTATACTTCTATTCCTAACCTCGGAAGTTTTTATAGTTCCCTCTCTTCTCCCTTAGTCTTTGGCACATTGGAATACTCTGTGCATTTATCTGGGGACAACAGCCGCAAACCTGCCATTTGTAGAATGCTGGTAGGACTGGGGCTGAGGGGTGAGATGTGGTGTGAAGGGCTTGTACTCTCTTCAGACTGCTCTGCACATTTCCTGTCGGTTTGCTAGGCTATGCTTTTTCTCCTTTGTGCTGTTGAAGACCCACTGGTGCTTTTTCAAGCCTTTGCTCAGACCTTCCTGACCATCTCACAGTCTTCTTTGTTACCCCCATGTGTCTAGCGCAGTTTTGATTTCTCATGGAACTTAGGGTTTATATTGTTTTCTGTAGGATCTCATGGGCCTGGGGTATGTGCAGTATACGGGTCTCATGGTTCACATGGTGCCCAGTTTGGCAAGTGTTCTCAAACAAGAGGGCCAGGGACCTGGCTTTGCACCATGTAGCTTCTATTGAAATGTGTGCCTTGTTGTACTGGTGTGTCCCCGGCCAGGGCTCTCTAACCGCCTGGTTCAGTGTCTTTGCTTTCATTTGTACCCTCAACCGAACAGTAGCAGGCGTGATTAGTGTGTGATGGGCATGTAAATTCTTCTTGAGTGAAGGAAAAATGGGAGCCAGCACTTTCACAGGCCTGGTGTGAGGATAAAATGAGTGTAAATTGCAAGAGTCTTCCCAGTTAACATGGTTTTTATGTTTTAATCTCGACCCCTTTATTACTGAGAGTCTAATTTGGGGTTTGCTTTTTTTTTTTTTTTTTGGACAGTTCATCAGAAAAACAACACTGAGAACGAGATTGATGGCAAGGAATTGGCATATTAGTTGTGGGGGCTAGTGAAAGGAGTCCAGATGTGTAGGGCAAACTCTTAGAAGGGGGTTTGAGTTTGGTTTCTGTTGCCACAGTAAGCACCATGGTGAAAGCAACTCCAGAAAGAAAGAGGCTTATTTTAGCTTGTACTTCCGGGTCATAGTCCACCTTGGGGAAAGTTTGGGCAGGGACCTACACAGAAGCTATCGACAGCAGTTCTCAACCCTGTGGGTTGAAACCCCTGTGGGGTCACATATCAGATATTTTTCATACCAGATTTATAACAGTAGCAAAATTACAGTTATGAAGTATCAACTAAATGATTTTAAGGTTAGGGGTCATCACAACATGAGGAATTATATTAGAGGGTCACAGCATTAGGAAGGTTGAGAACACTGCCACAGAGGAATACCCTTTCTGGTCATTGAGGAGGTCTTTAGGAGAATGCTTTATTGTTTCAGGTACACACACACACACACACACACACACACACACACACACACACGACTGGACATGTGCATGGCCACACCCACCAAGTGCTGGGACTGGAGGAGTGCATGGCCACACCCACCAAGTGCTGGGAATGGACATGTGCATGGCCACACCCACCAAGTGCTGGGAATGGACATGTACATGGCCACACCCACCAAGTGCTGGGACTGGAGGTGTGCATGGCCACACTCAGGTTTTAACCAGGGTTTTTATGCTTTCTAGGTAAACACCTACTATTGGGTATGTTGTCTAAAACTATAGAGATATAGAATATTTAGAGTCTTATACAGGCTTTGTGGTATTATGTGCTTTTCTTTCTTGTAAAACCAACTGTCAAGTATGTGCCTGTGCCAAGTGCTACTCGTGCATGCGCCCTTGGTTCACTTTGTGGTGTGAGAGAAAAAACAGAGAATGTATACCACAATCCAGCCATTTCATGGCTGTTACAGAAAGGAGTATAGGGAGCTTGGGAATGCATAGCAAAGTTTTGGGAGTCTATTTTTGTTTCTTTTAGTGTTTGACTTTGAAAACCAAGTTCTTGCTATATAAATCTAAATTAGCTTCAATTCCTGGGTTTTAGCTACCTTCCTGCCCCTGAGTCCCAGGGTATCTGGGAATACAGACAGGTGCTAACATGCCAAAATAGGGCCTTAGCTGACATATAACGATGACTGCCCATCATTACAATTGTCTCCATAATGGAATAAGAAAGAGCGGGAAAAGCATAGAGGATAAGCAGGGAGCAGTTGTGAGAATACAATGTGAACATTCAAGGGGTTAAAAAGGACTAGCGAGCATCGGGAAGCAAGTTGGTGCATGGGGTGAGGTGGAGAAAACACAAGGTATCCGTGCAGGGTAGAGGTGAGCTTGCACATCAGTATCCTTAGATCCTGCAGGGTCTTGAAAACTAGGAGATCTTGTTTAAAAGTTTTTATCTCCTCCAAAAAGTGGTGGTTCACAAAAGAAGAAGGAGCAGAGTAATTTGAAGCAATCAGCAATCCCATTATCTTCTCTAACTCTTATGTAAAAACTGTGGTCCAAGAACAACTGATTCTCCAACAGTGACTTAAAAACTAAACAAATTTTCAAAAATAACCAGAAAACAAAACCCTTGTTGGAATATGCAGCCCTAGTGTATCACCACTAGGGGTCAGGCTCTTCATGGACGGTACATGCCCTCAGGAAGTTCTGTGCATATAATATAGTTCCTGCCTAGACTAGTGGTTTGTTAGCATTGTCTTCCCTTCACCCCTTGCTAAATCTGCTGTGCAGTATTTGTTTTGATGAAAACCAATGTACTGTTGAGAACACATTATCATTCTGAAATCTTACACAATTAGAGCTGGTTATTGTTGTTTTGGATGCTCAGTGTGCCTTGGTTTTTGCCATGGTGATGTTTCTTAGCCCAGATTTGGAGTGTTGAAATTTTTTTCTCCTGAGCTGCTTTATAGGCAGAAATCCTTAGCTTTCACAGATAGGTTTGATTTTCCCTCAATTGTTTGTTTGTGTCAACATCTTTTAAAAACAGGGTTTCTCTGTGTAGTCCTGGCTGTCCCTAAACTCAGAGATCCACCTGCCTCTGCTTCCCGAATGCTGGGGTCAAATGTATGTGTCACCACTGCCTGGCCCTGCCAACTGTTTCTAATTCTGTTAAATGTTCTGTTTGTACCGTGAACTCTTAGAAAGCACTGGGTGGTGTTTCAAGCCTACAATGGTAGATGATCTAAAGGAGTCTGTTAGCTAGACATAAATGAGCTGCAGAAAGCTGTCATACCCTCTAGATATCGTCCTTCCTTAACTGCTGAGTTAGTTGGAATTACTTAATATTGAAGTGGCAAATAGAGATACGCAGTTTGTATTCTTTTGGGAACCTGGTTTTCATTTTTTTCTATTGAATTTGGGGACTTGTTCATAAATATTCATGTCCACATTAGTATACTAGTTACTAATGGCTTTTTGCATTTCAAAAGAACTTTTGAAGTTTTTTTCACTTTATAAACCAATTTTATTTAAAAAATAAAGTTTATCTAAGTGCTTTAATGTTTTAAAAACCTTTTTGAAATGTCTGATCTTCAAATGTCCTTTTCATTTGTGGGGAGTGTGGAGTTAGAAGCATGTGATTCAGAGTAGTGAGGAGTAAACCCCACTAACTCGTTAAATTGGTGTTTTACAGTAAATGCTGTGTGAAGATGTTCAATTGTTTATAAAGGGTGGTCTATTTATACTAAATGTGGCAGGCTCTGGTTTTTTTGTTTTGTTTTTGTTTCTTTCTTTCTTTCTTTCTTTCTTTTTTTTTTTTTTTTTTTTTTTTTTTTTTTTTGAGACAGGGTTTCTCTGGGTAGCCTGGCTGTCCTGGAACTCACTCTGTAGACCAGGCTGGCCTCAAACTCACAGAGATCCGCCTGCTTCTGCCTCCTGAGTGCTGGGATCGAAGGCGTGCGCCACCACCGCCCGGCAGTGGGATTTACTTTCTTTGAAAGCACGGTGCCGCTGTTAATCCCACTCTCTTCATCTCTCTTGCTTTATTTTGGACCTAGAGTGGAAAGCTGATCTCATGCTTTTTCTCTTCCCCTATTTCCCCTCTGCCCTCCATCTGGTCTTCACACCGTGCGAAAAGAAGTTACCTTCAACCAGCTGGCAGTGCGTGTGTAGATTACCACTTACCTCTCGCATTGGTTTACTTCTGCCTCTGCAGGTCCATGGACTGTATCGCACAACAGGTGCTAGCTTTGAGAAGGCCCAGCAAGAGTTTGCAACAGGAGTGATGTCCAACAAAACTGTCCAGACTGCGGCTGCAAATGCAGCTTCAACGGCAGCAACCAGTGCCGCGCAGAATGCCTTCAAGGGTAACCAGATGTAGAGGGCCTCGCAGCGGTGCACTGCTACTTTTGACTGTATTTTTTCTCCAGTTACTGTATTCTACAGACATTTTTATGTTGGAAACACACAGTACACAGCATGGGTATTTCCTATTCACATGTGCATGGTCTAAAACCATTCCTTTACCTACTAGTTTCTTAATATGTCCATGCCCTTCCCAGGAGAAAACTACATCTGCTAAATAAATATTCTCCATATTTTTGGGGGATGGTGTTCCTCAGATTATTTCAGTGCTGACACACTGAAATGAGTATGTGACTAAGGGTTAAACAGCACTCGGTACTAACCTCAACAGTTCTTCCAGGCAGGACAGATAAGGCTCGCACATTGGAAATGAAACCATGTTCGTTTCTTTTCTTTCTCTGTTAATATTGCAGGGACGAGGCCAGCAAAGACTTGGGTGTTTTTCAATTGGCTTGCTTTCTAGGAGGCTCAGTCACCAGTGAAGAGCCTGTGTACTTTGTAGTAGATAATGTATATTTTACCTTTTATTTTATTTTTAGACTAGTTGATATTTTGATAAAACAATCTCTGACCTTGCATGGGTACCATGTCTCTTAAGTGAAATGAATTAGTATTTTTGGGTTCTGTACTGCTTATAGTGGTAGGAGCTGGGGCTCTTTATAGAACCAGAAATGATTTTCTGCAATAGTTTCTTTTAAGTAAAAATTTACTGGAGTATAAAGACATTAATATAATGTGCAGTGCATTATCCAAAAGAAGGTAGTGAATTGATGCAATAGAATATAGTGATAATTCCTTTTTCCGCCTCTTAATTTTCAGTATTCATATAGTAAAATTTTACTGTATGGAAACTTTGGTATATTCTTCTGGATAATCTTTTTAATTGAACTGGGATTGTATTTGGCAACTGGGTGTGGGGTGTGTGTGGGTGTGTGTGAGAGAGACACACAGAGTCACAGAGAGAGACACAGAGAGAGACACACACAGAGAGACACACACAGAGAGACACACACAGAGAGACACACACAGAGAGACACACAGAGAGACACACAGAGAGACACACAGAGAGACACAGAGAGAGAGTGTGTGTGTGTGAGACACAGAGAGAGACAGAGAGAGTGTGTGTGTGTGTGAGAGAGAGAGAGCAGAGACAGATTTTGGCACAGGTATTAAAGGCTAGCCTAACCCTTGAATAAAAAGAACATACAGTATTTAAGGGATTTTTATTTTAGTCTCTCACTTTTAGTTGCATTAAAAATAAAGACCCTAGCACTTCTAATATTCTTGATTTCTTAATGTACCCGTTTACTTTTTGAAAAAGACTAAATACATGTAAAACATCGCACCAAGCAAGAAAATACGAGTACAGTTAAATGTGTTAATTATTAGCATAATCATATTGACATTGTTACTATGCAGCATAGGCTGATGTGGGTTCAGACCTTTAATCATTTTTAATAATAATTAAATGTCTCAACATTTGTAAGTCAGACTGTTTTATTTGGAAAGTCTTACTAGTTTTAGATTGCAGGATGATAGGTTGTGATTTATCCAAGTTGATTTTAAGCAAGGATGGTTGCTGAGACAGGATAACTTAACAATGGGCTTAAATAGTTGAGACACTTTAGACTTTTCCCTAAGTCTGGAGACGGGGAATTTAGTGCTGGGCTGGGGCACAGTTCTTGGTCTCGGATATGAGTTTGAAGTTGTACTCATGAACACTTCCTTTTCTCCCAGCTCAGCGATAGTGAGAGCCTGAGGCCTCGGTGAGACCTGGTGATGCTCATTCTTCATTGAGTACGGATTTTATAGACACCGAAACCACCAAGACTATAGAAGTACACATGTAGACCGTGTGCTTATACTCCAAATCCATGCTTATTTGTCTCTGAAGTTCAAATGAAAGATGCATCAGAGATTTTTTTTTTTTTAAAAAAAAATACTTTCCTTCAAAAATGGGAATGTTCTCTCTCTGTTATGTAGAGGTAGCATTATTAAATGACAAAGAGTAGTTATAATAGCACATCATGTTTTAATGTGAACAGGAAAATGCTGTTGTTCAATCCAGTTGCTTGGGTTCATACAACTTTGAAAGAGATTATGTTTGACAGCAAAGGAGCATTAAAATGATGGTAGTGTCTGCGGCGGGGGCAGGTGTGAAAACATCTTGGAATTTCTGGTTTACCATTCTCTCAACAGTTGGTCAAAAGTGCATTTTCATTTGGTGAAAGATGGCTAGTCCTTCCTACCTAATACCAATGCCACTTGGTGCCACAGCCATGAAATGAGCTTCATGCAGCACAGGCATCCATGCCACTTTTCAGTTTTCGATGTTAAATGGTGGCTATTTTATTTAAAACTAGGGTCTGAACACTGGAAAATCATTGCTTTGGTGATTTGTGATTGGGGCTTGGTTTATTTCTCTAGGGTGTTTGTACATTTTGTTGGTGCATTACACTGCACTGCCCTTATGGCAACTGTCACGGTTCTGTGTAAATGCCCTCCATGTGTCCTTCTCATGTGCATGTTTTCAGTGGTTTGGAAGTTTTGTATATTTATTGTATTAATGCAGAGTGTCATAAAATAAAATAATGTTTACTGAATGTTTGTTTGCATAATTTTAAACACTGTAGTAGCAATGGAGAGGCAGAAATTTCACTTGTAGCTTTAATATAGATAATTCACATTTGCTTTGTTTTAAGATGATTTATTTTATTTGCATTATGTGCATAGGTGTTCTGCCTGCATACTTGTCTGTATGAGGGTGTCAGATCTCTTGGAACTGAGTTCAGAGGCAGAGGAAGAGGGATTGTCTCAGATCTAAGGCAAACCCTATGTGAGCTGTCATGTGGGTGCTGGGAATTGAACCTGGGTCCTCTGGAAGAGGAGCTGGTGCTCTTAACTACTGAGCCAGCCCTTTCACATTCAATTTTTTAAAATCAATCTTTGTACCATTTTATTATGTGCCAAACACAGTATAAAAGATTTAGTTTAAAACCCTCAGCAACACAAGTTGGTAATTTTTCCATTGCATTAGACCGTTATAGATTGTTGAATTCAGTTTTACCACATTAAATATGATGACTATTTTGAGGTGGGCAAGATCATGCATAAGTTCGTTAGATTTGTTTTTTTTTTTTTTTTTTTTTTTTTTTTTTTTTTGCCTAGGTTTTCTTCCTGGGTTCAGATGGGTGCCTCTCTACCAGGACTGTACTACTGATTTGTTGAAACCTATTCTATTGTGTACTGGAGTTCTCACCTGATGACTAAAGATGATAAAGTTGAACCTAAAGTCATGTTCACAGCAAATCTTATTTTGAGAAAAACACGCTGAATTAAAGTAAACACTATTTTCCATTTTAAAAAGTGAGTTTGCATTTCCCCAGTTTACTAGGAGCTCATTTCTGTACTCTGTGGAGGTGGTTTGCACTTCGTGGGGACTTCAGGTGATATCAGTCCCTGCAATTATGGATACTCACTGCATCCATTCAGAAAAAAACACTGATATTAATGTCTGATTCCCAATTGTCTTAGTCACGTTTATGCCAATATTATACAGTTTATCACATTTGGGACCCGCTTTTTCTGTGTTCCCTTCTATTTTCCCTTAAGGAAAAGTCCTTAAGGGGACCTGAGGTCCCATGTGACTAAGCCCTTTGGAGATGAGTGGATGATTTAAAATAACTGAGGATGGCTCACATCAGTCAGACCTTACTTTGGTAGGTTTTTCAAACATTGTATTTCAAATTATGGTAGAATAATATGTTTTAAAATATTGGAGCTACTTTAAAATTTTTTAATTAATTTTTATGTTAGCATATAAATGACTTTATTTTTACAAATATTCCTTATTAGACTTAGTAAATTGTACTTTCATGATTAGGAAAATTAGTTCTATAAGAAGTTTTGGGTATATTTTACAAAACAATATGCATGTTGTGTTGGTGAGTTTTTAAAATCTTATTTCAGACTTTTTCACAGTTTCTAGGGAGCTAGAGAGCTTCTATGAAAGCCTTTTATACCAGGTGTCACCACTAACTCTGCCTAGTGCTGGGATAGGCACACATAGCCAGTTCCAAGATTCTGGGGAAATAGTAATGGTTCTTCTCTAGTTTCTCTTCTGCTGTGGACCGGGTAGGACAAACCTGCAGAGTTCCCACTAGAGTGGCGGATGCTTCCAGGTGGGAATGTGGGAGCCACCAGGGGACAGTGCAGGAGCTCTAAAGTCCTGTTTTCCCCCAGTTGTGGTTTTGAGCTCGCTATTTCTGGGCTTGGCATGACTTCCTGGTATAGTGAAACGTTCCTCATGCTAAAGCCTGCCATCTCTCCACCCAGGAGAGTTAGAAAAGACTTTATTTTCTTGTGATACAAGTAATGCATATTTGTATAAGGTTATTCTGAGTATTACTTTCTCTACATTAAAACAGCTTTTTTTTTTCATAAGAATTCTATCATGCAGGTGTTATGTTTGAGTCCTAGTTATTTCAATATAAATCTGGGATTCCTCCTTAATTCTACTTTTTTTGTGGGCCATGGTCCTCAAAACAAATGATGGTCGAAGCCATTGTTACTGTTGTGTATTGGAACCAGGTGTTTGGGTCCAAGAGAAAAGCAATTAAAACCACTGCCCCTTATCTCGTCATGGTAAAATTTCTAGCAATATCCCAGCCTGCTGTGCAGAGACCAAACTGTGTGGGCAGGCACATCTCCAGATCATTTCTCTAGTGTGAGAGCTGTACATGCATCCTGGCTATAGAACGTTTGGAAAATGGAGAAAGTGATAAATTGGGAGACAAGTAAGCCCTTACTTCCATCACCTGGGATACCTCTGCTAGTGTTTTATTGTGTTCTCTTCCACTCTTTTTCCGTAAGTATGTATTTCATGGAATTAAGCAGTGTAATGAATACACATTCTCAAAATTCTGTTTTCCTCTCATTTAATATTACAACATACTTACCCAATAATCATAAAAGTAACATTTAAAGTTTATTACATATTTCAGTGTAAGTTACAGACAGTATGAGCAAAAGAAGATATGAAAATCCCTCAGTTTTATTTATACAGATAGCTCTTTATTAAGGTCTGGCTTGTACTTTTTTCTGTTAAGTTTTCTAGGAAAATAAGTTACTTCCTAAAGCTAGGCAGCGAGACCTCTCTGCAATTCCTGTGGCCATGGCCCGCGCAACCCTTCATGGCTGTTTTCTATTGCTTTGGCAAGCCCCTCTTCTCTGGGCTCCTGGAGACCACATTGGTACCGACATCATCAAACCCGGGTGCATGAACACTGGTGAGCCCACCTCATCACATCTTCATTCTCGACGCAGACGTATTTAGAAAGGGTCTGTCACTGCGGAACTGAATGTGTGGGCGGCCATATTGTGCCATGGAGAAGAACCCAGCAACCTCCATAGCTGATGAGAGCGAGAACTCACTTGACAGCTAGGTATGTGGGCTTAGTGCAGAACTTCAGAGCTGTCACTTCACCTAAGGCCTCTGCTTGTCTTGCCTTGTGCCATTCATCATGTTCTTACTTTGATTTCCCCTACTTATCTTGAGTTATTTTCCTTTCACTTTGAACCAAATGCACACAATGCACACAATGGGTTGTTGACTTTTTCCAGTTTACTAAATGAATACATGTAGCTATCATCCAGTTCTGTTATAGTCTTAACTTCTGATTTTCGAGGTTTTTTTTTTTTTTTTTTTTTTTTAATTAGAAATGGTTTGTCAACAAATGTATTGTTGCTAATTCTTGGGGTTTAAGTTTTTGTTCTTAAAAAAAATGCTGGGCTGAAAGTTGTGTTTTTAAAAACTGATGTTAATTGCCAGATGGCTCTCTGGAAAGAATTTCAGGTCTCCTATCAGTCGGTGTCCAAGTCAGTACTAGGTGTCTTTCTTTTCCAAAAGTCTTGTATTCCCATAAGATTGGGTAAGTAACCAAGAGGTCTGTTGTCTAAGCATTCGGGTTTCCCAGGCCTGTGCTCACCCGATTTGTTGTTGGTGGTAGTCTAAGAACAGTGTATTCTATATCCATGGAGGAACCTCTCTCAACCTGAAAGCTGTAAGATCAAGATGATTAAGTGAGTACTCTATTGTAACAAATAGTGGCCTTGATGGAAGCCTTTGATCCCATAATCCCAGTACCGGGAAAGCACCACACAGCAGGGGCAGGCGGATGGATCTCTTGAGTTCGAGGCCAGCCTGGTTTACAAAGTGAATTCCAGGACAACTAGGCTATACAGAGAAACTCTGCTTTAGAGAGAGAGAGAGAAGGAAGAAAAGATTGGCCTCAAGTAGCCAGTCTACAGTAAGTAAAATTTGACCATTTTTGACAACAGGGTATACTACCCTTCACAAAGTGTGACTTCTGAAATCCCAGCACTGAGGAACCAGAGGCAGGAGGATCTCTGTGAGTTCAAGGCCAGACTGGTCTACATAGCAACATCCAGGGCTACACAGAGACCCTGTCCAAAAAAGGTAAAACAAAATAAACTCCCAAGTATTTGCAAAGATGGGAAGGATTCTTTTGGTTTTCTTGCCATATTGAGGACTTAGAAGAGATTCCACGAAGTGCTCTCTATAAATTCCTTAGTCCTTGCACCACATCTATGATATAATTGCTAATTGTCACCATTTTCTATGCAGGATTAGGAAATTCCCATAAGGTAACTGAGTAAAGGTGGTGAAGGGCATATGCCAGGTCCTTGAACCTGTGTCCGGCCAGGGATTGCTTTTCCAATCTGAGTTCCCTCCCACCCTTCCACATTTCTGGTAACTGTGTCCGTCTTCAGAAACAATGGACCTTTGGAAAAGGATCATTACCCAAGACAAAAAAACAGCACTGTTGTTGGCATCCCTTGACCAAAGCTCCCACTTCAGTGAGCAGACGAATCCCTGCCTCCTGTTCTTAGCAGTTGGGGTAAGTGGTCTTTGATGTTTGTGTTTTGGATAAAGTTGAGGGCTAATCAGAAAGTATCAGTTACTTATGCTTATGTGATCCTTCCTAATGGTCTCTTTCCTTGGCTCTGAGATAATCTATGACTTAGATCTCCCTCACTGGAACATGATAGAATCGGAATTGCTGGAGTCTGTCTTCAGGAGTGTGCTGAATTAAAATATGTTATCTTCAAATGTGAAAGATTCGCTAGGTTCCTGAGAGGGAGGAGGGAACAGATGCGACCCTTGTGGAGATATGGCTAATGTCACTCATGTTTGTCACAGCGAGACTGCACCCAGCTGACCCCTTCCCTTCCTTCCATTAGGAAGGACATGCAGCACAGACATCTGGTGTCAGACCTGTATTTGGTCCTTTGTGCTTCCTCTCTGTCTAATGGGGCAAAGCACTTCACTAACGTTTCCTCAATGGCAGGAACTTAGCTGTGTAAGAAGGCTTCTACCTCCTGCCCTATGAAAGCTCATGAAGTGCTCGCCGCAGAATGTGTGCAGTATCAAAGCTGGCTCTCCTCTCTCCAATCTGTCTCTGTCTTTCTTTTGTTGGGTCTGTTCCCAGTTATACACAAGTAGCCTCCAGTGATGGCCTTTGCCCTCAACTCTTCTGGCCTCCATCTTGGTGGCTATTATCATTTCCTACCCAGAGCCCACATTAAATGCTCCAGCTATCCTAGACTCCTCTCCATCCCTCCTGCTTCTGGCTGGTCCCCCCCCCCCCCCACTGAATGCATCCCAGTGTCGTTCCTCTGCCTTGCTTTTCTCTAAAATGAGTCCATTGGAGGTTTCTTGCAAATGTTGGCACTTGAGGGCTTGCTTGTCTGTAGATGCTGGCCCCTTTAGGCTGTTTGACTGTCAACATGGAAAAAGCTGCTAATGGCTGCATGTTATTTGACTGATTGTCCTTGCCACATGGTTTGAATGTTCCAACTTCCTCTACTTGTGCTTTTATCTGTATCCTGTGTGCATACCTAAGCAAAATTAGCAATCCTTGCCTTGCAGAGACTCTGCAGAAATCTTTGGGTTAAGGGGAGGAAGTAGCAAGGAAGAAGACAGTAGGGGCAGAAGGGGACAGACAGCCACACCAAATGACTAATTTGCTGAGCCGAGGTTCTGTCTCTGGAGTCCTGTTTGCTGTAATGCTCCTGTCATTCGTGCTGAATGTCCCAAAGGAGCCGAGTTATTTGAAACAATGTCCACACAGGAACGTCCTGGGTAACAAAGACTTGATGGGGCTCCACCAGAGGAAGTTGAGTATGTTTTCCAGGAGATCTGGTGGCAACATTTTTCTGTAAAAACTAAAGAGTGGGGTTGATAAGAAGGCTCAGTGGGTAAGGCTGCTTCCTATGCAAGCAAGGGGGATGTATGTTTGAATCCCCATATGAAAACAGCATAACTGCATGGGCTTCTAACCTACATTAGGGGATAGAGACAGGCAGACCCTGGAAGCTCCCAGCCGGCTGGCCAGCCTACCTGAAACCTAAATAAGTAAGATAGACAGTGTTAGAGGAAGATGCCCAAAGTCCTTGTCTGGCCTCTGCATGTGAACGTATCACCTCCCTTTCCCCATACACAGACTGAGGATGGCAAGCATATGGGACCATGTCCCAGCCTGCGCTATAACCAAAGTGCTGTTGCTCTCTCTGCAGATTTACATTGGGCACAGTATGTGTGACGCCTGAAAAGGTGCCACAGAGGCTCATTTTCCTGGGAGCACCCGGATGCTTTCTCAACACCATTTCCTCCAGCGTTTGGGGCCCTAGCTTTTCACTTCGACTTCACTTGGGAACCCGGTGGTGGTCATTTCTGCTCAGCAACCAAAGCGTGCACATGCCTTCTGTGTATCAGCAGCAGGTCAGGGCAACGGCCACACTGGGGTGTCTGACAGCATGTATTCCTGGGAAGGTGCAGAGGCTGGGCTTATGGAAACGGGGTCTAATTATTGAGTTTATAGATCAAAAGCCCAGGTGTCCTGACTTGCTGTTGGTCAGGGTCCCCTCTGGGAACTGTGGGTGTAGAAGGCTTCATAGGACTGGCTTTTCTTGTGGGTATTTTTTTGAGAATAGAGGACATACCTTTTGGTTAGCAAATGCTCTAAAGCACTTTTAAGTCTCTCAGCTTTACTTTAAAATTAAGATGCCTATCCTTGTGTTGGTTACTTCTCCAAGGAAGAAATTAAAAGCAACTCATGGTAGGGATAAATTAAGAATCGGCAGTAGAAAATGCCTGTATATTTTTCCTGATGTCAGTGTTACAATAAGTTATCTATAAATTTTGCCTGATTAGTGTTTTTGTTTTTTTGATCAAATTATGTGCACTATATTGAAGTCAACGTAGTCAAACTTGAAAGAATGAGTTTGCAAAATCTGATTTAATTCCGATCTGAAGTGGGTAAGGGAGTACACTGAAAATCCTATATACAGAATCCTAATCAATGCTAGACAGATAATGTATTAGTTTACAATTTAACAGGACAACCACACATAGGAAGGCTCCAATTGAGTCCATGAGCTGTAACAACTTTATATTTGGCTCAAGTGGCTACTGAACATCAAGTGATGCTGAGTTTCTTCACAGCACCCAAGGACTGCCTTGGCCTCAGAAGGAGTTTCTCCACAGTTTCAGAAGTCCCATTCATCCTTTGTATTCTTGTGGCCATGGGAGTCTCTGCTCCCATAAACGCAAATGTAGGCCCGGGATTTCCAGCAGCCACATGTTATTATTGCACAGAACGGTCTGTCCTAAGCCAGACTCTTATGGCTGAGAAGGTGTGACTCTAGCCCTTAAATATAATGGCCTAGCATTAACAAAAGCTCGTGAAGAATAGATCTTTAGCCTATACCAGCTACTAGTTATCAAGCTAACAGAAAAGACAACATGGCAGCTTCACATTTTACATGAAAGACTAGCACTTACTGGGCCTGGCTTGCTGGATTGAGTCTCCCATAATACAGTGATCATTTTCTGCATTTAGACCCAGGAAAACATGACTTCATACCAGTCTTTTCTTCACATAAGGTTTGTGTAGCATTGAAATTGTTAGGGATTAATGACTAGCCATGAAGGCAATTATGTCTAACTTTCCTCTGCAAAACAGAAACATCCCTGTTTTGAAGCATGTCCAGTTTCCCCAAACAAAACATACATACATCTTTGTTATTGCACATCTTTCAGACAAACTTGTGTATATGTGATATATATATATTTAAATATGCTACACATAAAAAGACTATGGCACTTTACAGAATGCATGTTTAACAAAAACCATTCATTACATCACAGATGTTCAGAGCTATGTAAAAACCCTTCCACAGTTATGTCATGCCATTGGATTACCACACAGGTTTAAAGAACTCAGATTCCACGTGTCTCTACTTTAGTGTCCATCAAGAGGCCAAGCACAAACACAGGCAAAGTAAGACCTTTCCTGTAGTAGGAATGGTCCTATTACTAGAAAAATGGGTATAGGCCCACAAGTGGTTTTTAAAGAGCCAAAGGAAAGTTTCATTCTACACTAGCATGGTTGGAGATGAGCCTTTCGTTCCCTGCAAATGTCTGTATCTTGGTTTGAAGGTCTCAAATGCTGGGTGTCCCCATCTCTCTGCTCCATCTGGTCAGCATCTAGGTGGTTGTCAATAGCATGGCATTTAATCTGTGCCCTCCTTTGGGGTGGGGTCTTCTCTAGTGTGTAAATTAATGAAAAACACTGATAAGTAACTTCATCCGGCAGATTTTCCTTTGTGACTGTTACCAGGTTGACACAGTCCCCTGCCACCTTACCAAAAGAACAGGCCATGGGCTTTCATGCAGGGTCCCTGGCTTGGGACTAATTAATCTGGTTTTGTTCGACAAGATCCTCCATTTTCCTTGAACTAAACTGTGCTTCAAGCCAAGTACTGCCCAGGTTGGAAAGAGTCACTGTGCGGGCAGGAGGGCACAGTTAGAACTTTGTGAATACACAGTGAATGACATGTCTTTTCCACGCGCTTGGTGATCTGTTCCTGCTTCCTGAATCTTCCTAGAGGCCTCCTGCTTCTAATTCTAAAGAAGCCATAGCATCTCTACCTTGCTGATGTTGAACCACTGGTTCTGAAGATCTGATTCAATACCCTCTTCCCTAACCTCTCTCTTCATGAGAGATAAGATGGTTTCTGGTATAGGCCAAAGGGCAAATAAACTATAATGAAACCCGTGGGCCTAGCCCATCTCTATATAAGGCAGTTGTTCTGAAGCAAGGCTTAGTTCTAAACTGACACAGCTCTAAGTGACTCACTGGGGCAAGGCTGTAGAATCTGAATCAGGACTGTGTACACGGGTGTACTTAGCAAGCACTTGCCAGTAGAAGGTGCTTAAATATTTAAGACAAAGCCCTTAGTGGAACATACCTCTAAAACCCAAGGGCCCACTCCACTTAGGCTGCTGCAGAGGGTGGTTTTTATCTGCCCGGCTTAGACATTACCAGACTCTGGTATTTCTGGCTGCTTTGGTTATAAGGGTAATCCATGGAAACTGGATTAAAAGCCCTGAGTCCTTTCTAGTAGTGGTATTTAGTGGGTTTTGTAAGCATGCTTAGGCAGGTGTGGTGAGCTTGGCCCAACCCTCACTTTTGCATTACATTTGTGTTCTTTGTCTCCCTGTGGATGTGAGTTTTGATGTGAGTTCTCAGTGTCACCCAGTCTGTTCTCAGGCTCAACACCAGAAGCTATACAAGCTACCACGGCTTGCTCCTGCTTTCTCTGCAAGGAGCACCAATGGGACCGGAAGGGACCGGAAGCCAGCTGACCACACAGCACAGGTCACCAGTCAGAAAGCTCACCCTGCAAAGGCAGGTTCTGGCAGCCCCTCCCTCTGAACATCTGCATGAGCCCCAGCTGGTCTGGAGGCTGCTACCTTGGAAGGAGGAAACACTGAGGTTTTCCTGGGCAGCCAAGCACAACCCCAACCCCAGGAGAAAACTAATTCTAAGGAGACAGGGCTAGTTTAGGCACTAGGCTGGGGGCAGGGAGCATCTGACTGCTGGGGCTGTCTGTCTTAACTCACATCCTGAGGACAGTTCCATGGATGCCTCTTGCCCTGGAACTTGAAACTAGAGTAGTCTGCAGCGGGATTCTGCACTGTCCCTGTTGAGCCCTTTGGTCTCCTAAGCAAAACCTGGCATCTTGCTGTGACCTTCAGCATACAACCTGTCATCAGTAAGTCTGTAATCGTCTTCTCAGTCTCCAATTGAAACAACTTGGAAGAAAGCCAACCAAGATACCACCTCCTGCCCTCATTCTGAGATGTGGGCCAGACACCTGTCTCAAGCCATCCTGAGGCTGGCTGGCCTCTCCTCTGCTGCCAGAGATTGCTGCCTACCTAGCTGAGTCAGATTTCTATCCTTCATTGAGCCCCGGGCAGACAGTCTGTCCCCAGTCAGGAGCTAAACCATGTCCTTGTCTGGTCTCGTTATTTGCCCTGCAGCCTGCATGCCTGAGAACTCGGCTTGGTAGGTGATGCCCGTCCCTGGTCCCACGAAGGCCTGGGGCTGTGGAATGTGGCTCTGGTAGGTCAAGACTGGTTCCTCACTTGATTCAAATGACGAAGACTGTGTCACGAGTCATAAAGGAAGGTAACAGTGGCACTCATGTCTTCCCAACTAAAGGAGGCAGATCAGGTTCTTCCCCTCTTCGATTTCTTCCTGGACTTTGTCACTGGAGGTTGCAATCTCTGCTTGCGCGGAGAAGACAGCGCAGATGAATGTGAGGACCGTGCCCCCAGTGGCCGTATAAAAGGCCCAGCCCAGGGAGCAGTCTCCAGGTTTGTAGGGAGATGCATGCCGTCCACAGTCTATGGCTTTCTGGCAGCCCCAGCCTGCAGGGTAGAGTATCAGGCCAAGGATAAGGAACAGACCTGAGGACAGAAGAGAAAACAAATGAAGTTCCTTGGTGCCTCAATAACCCAAAATACCTGTGCTGCAATAGAGAGCATCATCTTAATAAAACAAGACTGACAAACCCGTAAGCCAAACCAAAAGAAAAATAACAGTTAACAAGGGAAATTGAAGGGTCACTAAGATAATTCAAGAGGATATTAGCAAAGAGATCTGTTGTGAGCAACAAGACTAATTTCTCCCAATAAAGAGTCCGGCACTGTATGAACTCACTGCTGAATTCTAGATGTTTACAGATGATCTGACACCTTTTTCTCAGTCTGTGAAGAATCCCTTTGGAGTTTAGATGGAATTCAAGCATTTGTAAGTTCTGAGAGGGCTTAGGTATTAGTACAGGATTGTCTTTACAAGCTAGGACCACTGTAATTCTTCTATCTGTTCCCCCTCATTTCTTCCTCCTGCCTTATTGTTTTGTCTGAGACTTTAAACTCAATATTAAATAAAATTTATTTCTTGGGAGGTAATTTACCCCCATTTTTACTACACTTGCTACGTTCAAACTATTAACACCTAATAGTTTAAAGTACTCTTCAAAGTATTCTGTAAACTACAAAGGGGATGATGATTATTACCAGTTTCATCTTTAAAAGCCAGGATCACTCCGGGTTTAAAACCAGATATAAGAACATGCATGCACATACATGACAGACACAGATGCAAAGTTCTCAATACATTCACAGATCCAAGTCATGGCCCTCTTGGCTTGACTAATCCAGAGCTGTGTGGATGCTTCAACAAATGTAAACTACAATATATAAATTATAGAAACAAAAATTTAGACCTTTGACAAAGTTTAACATCCCTATGCTAAACTTCTTGAAAGACGACACTTCGATAAGGCTATATATAAAACATACCTCTAGCAGATATAGTAAGTGGGGGAAATTAGCTTCAAAGTTTGGGGATAAAAGTCTTCTAGAATTTTATTCAATATTTTGCTAAAAGTCTCAAACACAGAAAGAAGGCAAGAGGAAGAAATAAAGTGAGAGGCAAATAGAAAAGGAAGAATTACAGTGGTCCCTGTTTGCAAAGATACACTCCTATACTAATACCCTAAGCCCTCTACCAGAAATTTCTCAGAACTGATAAATGTTTGGATTTCATCCAGACTCAAAGTATTTTTCAGAGTGTGGAAAAGTGTGGAAAAGTGGAAAAGTAATCCTATAATACAAAGACTCCAACTAGCCAAAGCACTTACACAAAGGTAAGGCAAGATTGTAGACATCACACACACACACACACACACACACACACACACACACACACACACACACACACTTCTAGTTACTGCAGAGCTGAACTAACCAACAGCATGACACAGAGACCAGCGTACAGGGCACAGAAATACACCCACACTCCAGCGATTCAATTTTCAACAAAGTGGTGGGAAACACAGGAGAAAACTGATTCTCTTCAACAACAAATGTGGACACCCACACATAAAAAAATAAAAGGACATCTCTACCCCCCATCTCACCCTGTACAAAAGTTACTTCAAAGTGGATCAGAGACCTTACTGAACGGAAGGCATGAAACCAGGAGGGAAACACTTCAAGATACAGGCCAAGTCTTTTCTGAGAACTCCAACAGCAAGGATTGATTGATAGATAGATAAGAAGTTATTACACAGGAAAGACAGCCTGCAGGTGGGAGAAAATTTCTGCCTGTTACTCAGTGGACAGAGAATTAATCCCAGATCATAATATGAGGTACTCAAAAGATTAAATACCAAATAACATAATCAAAGAATGAGCTCTCAAAAAGGCAGCAGAGATGGCTCAGTGAGTAAGGATGTTGCTTAAGCACGAGGAGCCACATTTGGATGCCAGCAACCATGTAAAAAGCCAGGTGTGGCTGCTTCTGTGCCCTTGTAATACCAGCATCATTCGGGCAGGAACCGGAGGACCACTGGGGGCTTGCTGGCTGCCAACCTAGCTCCAGGTTCAGTGAGACACCATGAGAGTAACTCAGCAGGGCCCCCAATGACCTTCTCTAACCTTTGCCCACCTGTGCATGTGCACTACACCACACACAAAGGAGACAAAAGACACCAGGGAAGTGCAATTCAAAACTACACTTTGAGATGCTAGCTCAACTCAAAGTGGCCATCTTTAAGAAAACAAATGCTAGTTAGGGTTGGGAAGAGCCTCTGGGTAAAGTACTGCAGACATGACATTGGTATCCAAGTTTTGCCAAAGAACTGGAAACAACTACCACACCAGTCTAAACAGCACACAACAGATACATGGGTGCCCATGTTTACAGTGATGTTCTTCACTGTAGCCAGGTTGGAAGTCATTGATAAATGGATATAAAAAGTGATATGTATATGATAAATGGATATAAAAAGTGATATGTATATAAAGAACAATTAAATGTGTTATTTGCAGGAAAATGGCTTGAACTAAAGATTAAAATATAATAAAGTGAAATAAGTCAGATTCAGAAATACAAAATGCCCCATTTTTTCCTCACATGGAACCTAGGTTAAAATTGGACATACCACTGATGGCATGAAAGTATAGGGTGGGGACAGTTTGGGAAAAGGACGCTGGGCACGGTGGCACACACCTTTAATTCCAGCACTCAAGAGGCAAAGGTGGCTGAGTCCTGAGCCAGCCATACGTAACTGAGTGGAGATGAACAAGGCAGTGTGGGGGATGTGACTATGATAACATGGATGAAAATTATAATGAAGCCTGTTATTTAAAAAAAAAAATGACTACATTAACCAAAAGGAACAAAGACCAGCAGCTGATGCCAGAGTAAAGCCATCTGCAGAGTTCTCCAAATACAGAGGAGACCTAGCGTCACTTACCTAGTTCTTAAATTCTTCCAAGGCTACTAAGAGACCCCAGTTAATCCTGCAGAAACCCACAAGATACCGAGGAAATACTGATGAATTTCTCCCTCCAGGTCCTAAGTGGCTGCTCTAAGAAACCGCACACCACTGCTGACCCTTTTATGGTTTACATGCTGGCTCACAGCACCTCTTCCAGCAGGTATGGTCTATGTGAGGCTCCAGATGCAGGCCCCACACAAGAGCTGCTCTTCAGCGAAGACTGAAGTGTTCCGATTAAACATCAAATGCACATTTCATTTGGCACTCTGTTCTAGATTCAGACTCACTGGAAAGTGTACAGCATATTTTAATGTGGCTCATGGGATCCTGTTAGGAAGTTTTGAGAGATATCTTTCCTTTAATAGCATCAGAGCCCCCTTTTGCAGCCTGCCAGGCCCAGCCGGAAGTATGTCTTCCTGTTCCTTAGTGCAGGTGTGGTTCCTTGCACTACAAACCATTTGAGAGCCTCATGGTTGCTGTTGACTTAATTCACAAAAAGTTGGCAGGGAACATTATCACAGAAGGGTATCAGGCTTGAATCTATCAAAGCCTTGGCTAGGATATAGGATCAGCAACGAATCTACAGGGGAAGGTGAGGAAAAGTGAGCTGTGGTGTATCCACCAGAAGCAGCAGCAGCTACCATCTCTCCCGCCAGCCTGGCAGCCAGCTGGGTTGTGGCAATACCTAAATTGGGGTTCTCAGCATGCCAGTGGAAGGGACCACCCTGTATACTCTAAAAGCCCTGGCTAGTGTGCCTTTACTGTCAACACTCAACAGAGCCATCATTAACATGGTCCTTTAGATAACTCATAACAATAAACATACTCATTCTCCCCCACCCCTCTCTCTTAAAATCCCACTGTCAGCCAGGCATGGCTTGGTGCCTCCGGTGGCCTCTTTGCATGACTGCCAACCTTGCCTGTTCCCCATAAGAGCCCGGGTTCTCTGCTGTCTTCAGTGTGGGAGCAGCTGCCCCGGCAGGCATCCCTGGACCCAGCAAGTATCCCCCATGCACAGTATGTTTGAAGATGTCGTGGAGGGCAAAGGAGAATGCTCACTCGCTTGCTTTCTTCTGACTGGAACCTTAATGTGGTACCTGGCTGGGTTGTGGCAAGACCAGGAAGAAATGGCAGAGAGAATGACTGTCCAGCACCTGCAGACCACAGACCCAGCATGGAAATCTCTCACCTGCTGCGGACCTGAACTATGTCTAGAGCTAACAGGACAGTGTTCTAGAAGGTTCCATTTTCATCATAACTAAAGTAAATCTTCATCCTGTCTCCTTTCTTGCTAACAGCCCCCCCCCAGTCCACTAGACAAGAGGGTTAGAAGATGGTTGGCATCTGCTGACTGGTGATCGCCACTGTCAGCCCCCCCCCACCCCAGTCCACTAGACAAGAGGGTTAGAAGATGGTTGGCATCTGCTGACTGGTGATCGCCACTGTCGCCAGTGAGGAACCAGTGTGGGGAGCACAGTGGAGAAGGGGGGGCTTGGTGGCAATACAGCCTCTCCTTCGACTTTCTGACACCTCCCTTCCAACCAGTCACACGATGCCACACTGCCTCACACTGCAGGCCCAGCAGCCAGGCCCAGCCTTCTCTTTGTGACTCACCCACTACTTATACAGGTGCCATTTCCTCTGCCTGGACAGTGAACACTGCAGTCCTGCTCTGTGGAATGTTTGTCTCTGCAAGCCGAATCTCCATGTGACACTCCCTGCTCCTCAGATGACATCCAAAAGGAACACTACAGACTGAGACTTGTTTGTATAGTAAATTTTCTAAGAACATGAATGAAGGAAAGCTACCTGTAGAATACTACAGTGAGACAGCACAGTGACCACTTTCTCTAAGTCATAATGCAGACACCCTCAAGTTCCCAGAGAACAAAGGGATGCCAGAGTGCACACTGTTGGGGGCCATGGTGTATGTTTGTGAGCATATGCATGTGCGTTTGTAGAATTATCACTGAGTTTCATAGTCTTTGTGCACCCTGAGCTCGGGCCAGAATCAGATCAGACCATGTAGGCTGCCATTTTCCAAACAAGGAACTCAGCATCCACCTAGAAATGTCCCCATCATCTTAGTGCAAATGTCACCACTTCCTGTTAGGATTA